AAAGAGAGATATGATGAAGTGGTGGGTATCAACCTAGGTAGGGATGTATTAGAATATTGAGTGGGGGTTGGGGGAATAGATAGGTGGGGATTTTGAGGAGATGTGGGTTTGATGATGAAGAGAGGTGATGTGGAGGAAAAGAAATAGGAATAGAGAAAGAGGAAATGATACCATGAAGTTTATATATAGCCGAGTACTAGCGCAGGAGAATGAGAATGAGAATGAAAACAAAAATAAAAAGAGCTTGTATACTTGAGATGATTAGATATATATATCCAAATATCTATAAAACCACATCAAAGTAAATATCTAAAAACAAATGAAATCAAATTTTGTATCTGATATTCCGTATCTATCTCGAGGCCTAGGGTCTCCGCATCATCGTTATTGTTGTAGTTCATGCATATGGATGTGTCAGGTATTTTTCGATACGATTCAATTCAATATCACTCACCACCTAGCCTGGATATCACAAAATAAAATCTGCCTAGCCATTCATTAGAAGTGGCTGAATCTCTAAAACTAGGTAGGTAAGGTTGGAAGGTTGCGAGGTAGGTAGGTAGGTAGGTGAGTGAGTGAGGCACGGAAATGCGCCTCGCCTACCATTAGGCAAGGTCACAAAACTACCTTGTCGTTTCATGTCATCATCTTACCCACCTCCCTAGCTATTTATTTTCCCAAAACGGAACAAAACATCTTCTTCCCCGATGCAATTCCCAATAGATGGGAATTAATCGTCGCTCACGATTCCAATTGTAGATAAATCTCTTTCGGGATGGGATGTATATGGTGATTTAGATATGTTCTATGTTTACCTATCATTGTGTTTTGAGATTGTGGTGCGAAACGCGTATGGTATCCTGGATGAATGAATGAATGAACGAATGAATGAATGAATGGGGAGAGCCAACTTGTCACCAACATTTTCAGCAGGTTTGGTTTTTCTGCGGCTCAGCGGTTTGGGGGCAAATTTTGGTTAGAGATTGGAGTTACAATGTTGCATTGAGGAAGGAGAGGCACAGCTTGATGGTGTGGTGGGGTGTGGTGGGGTGTGGTGTGGTATTGTTTGTTCGTTTGTTCGTCCGTTCATGATCATGCTTTTTCTTGATTCGACGAGTCGCGCAGATACATACATTATTTTGTATTTGTTTGCGATTCTTGATGATTTTTTCTTCTTCTTCAGCGTTTGCAACATGTCTATGTTTATCATTTCAATTAAATTATCGAGATTGATCAGCGCGGAAGGCCGCCTTGTTATTCTTGATTGCATATCCGTGTGTACATGATTGGCTGGTTGGAGTTGTAGGCCTCAAAATTATAGCAAGGATTAGGGCAGCGTTTAGCTCTAGAACCATGCCTGCTTTTTATTGATGGAGGGATGCGGTAACATGCATGTATTGCATGAATTAACCTTTCCGCAGCATGCTTGAGGGTGGCCGTTTGGAAGGCCTCGTTGAAGGGAAGAGAGGTAGGTGGATATGTCAGTTGAGTGATCGAGGTACAAATATGATGAGATAACCTCTTGTTCAGTTTTTGTTCACAGCAAATTTTCTTGTATGAATTTCGTTTCTACTATTCTAAACAGTATATCTTTTCAACGCAATCAAGCGATACAGCAACCAGTCATGCACAGACAGGAATTTCTTAGACAGGAAGCACCTCGATACGCCGAAGTAATCAATAGGTCTCCCTCTCGTGGATCATCCGTCGTTGTAGATGATGAGAGCTTTCACGATAGTCCAATCACTCCTCAGAGCCCAATTCCCAAAGATGAGCTGAAGACTACATCTTCTCTCAAAGGTCTACAAACAGAGGAGCAGCAACGTGTTCTTGACACCGTCGCACACTTGAGAAAGTGTGGCCTCGAGAATACTCTGCCCCTTCCACAACTGGTCGTTTGCGGTGACCAATCTGCTGGTAAAAGTAAGTACAACAATTTATCTTTGGAGTTTTGGTAATTTTATATGTATTTTGCGTTAGAAAGCATGCTGAACTTTACACCCACAGGTTCGGTTCTCGAGGCATTGACCGAAATCCCTTTCCCGAGAAATGACAATCTATGTACTCGTTTTGCAACTGAGATTAGTCTCCGTAACGCCGACACGAAAACACTGACTATCAAGATTATTCCGGATGATGAGCGGCCATCTAAAGAGCAGACCATGATTAAAGGGTTTGTGGAAAGCATCACAGATTTTGATGAACTTCCTCGAATCATGGATCTAGCCATGGAAGCTATGGGTATAAGTGCTAATCTCGACCCGAATGCTCCACCACGGGCATTTGCGAGAGATGTCCTGAGCATTGAATATTGTGGCCCAGATTGTCCCCAGCTAACTTTGGTCGATCTTCCGGGTTTGATCGCCTCTGAAACTGTCGAGGCAACAGCTGCAGATGTTGAAACAGTCGCAGCTATAACAGAGCATTACATAAAGCAGCCTCGAACAATTTGCCTTGCTGTTGTCTCTGCAAAAAACGACATTGCGAATCAGCAAATCTTGAAGAGAGTGAGGGCCCACGATCCTCACGGAGATCGCACTCTTGGTATCATCACCAAGCCAGATACTCTTGATAAAGGCTCTGGAAATGAGAAAGCTTTCATCAGCTTGGCGAAGAACGAGAATGTCAGATTTAGACTGGGTTGGCACGTGGTAAAGAATCGAAGATACGAAGAGAGAGATTTTTCTCTAATGGAACGTAACATGGCGGAAGATTCTTGGTTTCGTGCCTCCAACTTCAAGACTTTGTCGAGAAATCACATCGGCATCGAACGATTGCGTGGTCGTTTGGCCGCTCTATTGTTCCAACACATCAAAAAAGAACTCCCTCAGCTCCGTCGTGATCTTGAAACGCAACTCGCCACTGCAAGTGAACAACTCGGGTTGCTCGGCGATGCTAGATCTACACCTTCTGAGTGTCGAGCATATCTGGTACAGCTCAGCACCGATGTCCAAAAAATCTGCGCCGCTGCGGTTGATGGACATTATGAAGGGCGATACTTTCAATGTGAAGTTAACTCCGAGTTCAAACTCGATCAGAAAGCAGCCCTTCGTCGTATGCGAGCTTGTGTTCAAACGATGAACTCTCAATTCACGGAAGTAGTGCGTAGAAAAGGTCACAAATACCAGATCGACAATTCTGTAGGCGCACAATCGACTAGAGGAACGATGGAAGCAGAAGAAGCAGTTGAAAAAGGCGAGCCTGAAAGACTTACGAAGAAGGAGGGTCTGGATTGGGTGAGGCAGGCACTCACTAGGACTCGTGGAAAGGAGCTTCCAGGAAATTACAACCCTTCACTAATTTCAGAGCTGTATTGGGAGCAATCCGTCAAATGGGAAGAGCTCGCCGCAGAACACATTGAACGAGTGTCCGATGTGTGCACCGAGTTCCTCAAGAACTTACTTCTAGAAATGACCCCAAGAGACGTTGAATCACGCTTGTGGTCATCCCGGATCGAGGACGAGTTGAGAAATCGGAATGCTGCCGCCACTCGAGAGTTGGATAACTTGATTGTAGACAACATGAACCATCCAATTAACTACAACCACTACTACACCGACACTATCAAAAGCCGCCAGCAAGAACGAGCAAATGCAGAACTCGAAAAATGTTGTCAGGATGCTTCCGCCGGTGTTGAGACATCTGAAGGAGTGCAGCTAGGTCCTGTGATCCAAAAATTGAAAGAAAGCCTCTTCAAGAGCACCGAGAAAGATATGGAGGTCGTTTCATGCGAAGCGGCTTTGGATTGTGTCATGGCAATCTACAAGGTCCGTTTCCTTTCACTCAGATTCATTTACCAAATATCGACTAATGTGTCTCTAGGTCCTTCAAAAGGTTTTCATCGCAAACGTGACTACGCAAGTAGTCGAGCGTCACATTGTTCGCGGCTTGGAACGCATTTTCGACCCTGTTGCTGTCAACAAGATGTCTGACCAAGATGTCGAGGCGATTGCTAGTGAACCAGGCCAAGCCAGACAAGAGAGGGCATATTTGGAGGACCAGATTAACAAGCTTGGAGAAGGCAAACGAATTTTCCGAACGATCATGAGCGGTGCGACCACACTCTAGGACGTCTAGCGTTATTTGACTACATGTGAGGGAGGATTGTGAGATACGGCTCGTGTGAAGTTATCGTCTCTGTTAAGCTGTGGAATTGGTTTTGATGGATCGTTGTTGTGGGCGTGGGTGTTGCGGGTAGAGTGGAAGGAAGAATAGTGCCGGCGAATACCGTACCGCGGGACTACATTTCCTTTTTGCTTCGACAGTGATCGTTGTACTTACTACTGGATATCTAGCTTCATTATTATCGTTATTGTAGCTTTTCATGTCTCATTTGTACATTGGTGCAACATTATGGTTTTTCATCTTTGTTAAAGTGCTATGAGTGATGAGATTTAAGTGATATAAAGAAGGTTATATAAATCAACCAAGTTGCTATCTAAGAGGATCTTGAGAGTGGAAAGGTCTTAACATTAAGGAATGAGTTGATATACTGCGTATCAACTACACTATATATAGCTAGACTAGTGCTAACTTTTCTGTACAAAGTATCTACAGTGGACTAAGTCTACGGTGTAGACGACTTTCAACGCTTATTTATATTCTCCAAGAGTCCCCAGCCTCGAGCCAGCATGCCTTGAAGACTCCACGGACCCATTCTTCCGACAGTCACTCACCCTGATCCGCATCGTTCGTTCCGCATCTTTTCGGTCCCGGCCGGGGTAAATTGCCACATCACTCACTGATTGGTCCAAATATCTTCAGATCCGCGGTATAAGGCTGATAAGATAAGATTCCCGTGATTCCTTCGCAAAAACCTTCTAGGTTTGTTATCGGATTAGTCAGTCGCAAAGCTTCTTGCCGTGGGAACCGTTCTTTTTCCTGTTTGGGACGCATCTCTTACCCAGCTTGGGCGTTGGGGTGCGTGGAATCGGTGGATGCAAGATGTCACTACTCTGTACGTACAAGCACTGGAGAATTGATTAATTGGGATTGGTAACATGGATATATATTCGTCATTGAGAGGATCCCTTGTGTTTATTTTCGTAAGTGGAGTCTTTTTTTTCTGGATTGTTTGGGTAAGTGGTCGAAGTGTAACTGCGGTGATTGTTTTGCGCATTTTATTTCATCTCATTTCGAAGATGCGTTTCCTGGTTCTTGTATATTCTTCTGGGATTGGTTCTCGGTGGTTGCGCTTTTTGTGAAGTTTGAAATCGCAGAGAATCTCGAGATTGTAGGAAAGGTATAATAGCGAGGTGAACAAAAGAAAAGAAGCATATGATGCTCAATTCCGATACCGAGACGGAAATCGAGGGGGATTTTTTGGCGCGGGAGGTAGAGAAGGAGGAGAGAACAATGGGGAATTCAAACGCCACTTCCATGCAGGATCACGATGGAGAAACGACAGATGTCGAGACGCCACCTCGACGGCCAAGTTCGCAATTGTCTAGACCGCACTCGCATTCGCCGTCCGAGATTCAGACAATTCCTGTCGCTGATCACGAGAAAAGTTCGGGTCCGAATGAGAGTCGAGATGAGAGAATATTGGTGGATTGGGATGGGGATGATGATCAAGGGAATCCGCGGAATTGGTCGACGTTGTATAAGAGTTGGATAACGTTTCAGTTGGGGATGTTGGCTTTGAGTGCGAGTTTGGGGAGTAGTATTATTAGTCCGGCGGGGAAGACGATTGCGGCGTATGTTGGTGTTGGATCGGAAGTTAGTGTGTTGAGTATTAGTCTGTACATGTAAGTTTTGTTTTGCTTTTTTGAAATGATGAGGGTACTGATACATTTCAAAATAGATTGGGATTCGCATTTGGACCACTTTGCTGGGCACCAATATCTGAGCTCTGGGGAAGAAGATGGAGTATGTTACCCCCACTATTTTGTCTGGGACTGTTTTCCATTGGAACGGCTACAAGTACAAACGCAGCATCGATTTTTATAACGAGATTTTTTGGAGGATTATTCGGATCGGCACCTGTTTCGAATGTTTCTGCAGCATTGGGAGATATGTGGAGTCCTAAAGCTCGAGGAACGGCTGTTACATTCTATGCAGTGGCAGTTGTAGGTGGACCGACACTAGGACCTTTGATCGGAAGTGCCTTGCTTGTGAATCCGCATCTGGGATGGAGATGGACGGAATATCTGGAGGCAATTTGGGTATTTACAATGTTCGGATTGTGTTTGATCTGTCTTCCCGAAGTCTATACCCCCGTCCTACTCAAGAAGAAAGCCGCTCGTCTTCGCAAGGAAACTGGCAATAATGCCTATTATCATCCACATGAAGAAATCAAACTCGATGCCAAGACCATTGTCACGAAGCACTTCTCGAGACCCCTCCTAATGCTTACTACAGAGCCAATGGTGACCTGTATAGCTTTCTACGCCTCTTTTGTCTATGCCATCCTCTATCTCACTCTCGAAGTCTTCCCGATCGTCTTCTCCGATAATCGCGGCTGGTCCCCCGTTATAGCTTCACTCCCTTTCCTCGGCCTCTTCGTCGGAGTCAATTTAGCCGTCGTAGTAAATCTTGGCAATCAGCCCCGCTACGCGCGTATTGTCGACGCAGCAGGTGGAGGTCCCGTTCCTGAAGCGCGTCTCGCCCCCATGGCACTCGGAGGCATCTTATTCGCAATCGGACTTTTCTGGTTCGGATGGACGGCTGCGCCAAATATTCACTGGATTCTCCCAGTCATAGCGTCGGTATTCATCGGCGCTGGGTTTAATATTATTTTTCAACAGTGTATCAATTTTCTCGTTGATACTTATGCATTGTACGCGGCGAGCGCGGTAAGTGCGAATACTTTCCTGAGAAGTATTCTGGCGACTGGCTTTCCGCTGGCGGCGGGCCCAATGTTTAGGGCTATGGGGGTAGGGCCAGCAATGAGTGTACTAGGGGGAGTCGCTACTCTAGCGATACCGGTGCCGTTTTTGTTTATGAGGTATGGAGTTGCGTTGAGGAGGAAGAGTAAATTCGCTCCTTTTAAGGATTAGATGATTTGGGGATAAAGGGAATGTGGGGGATGAGGAGGTGACTATATATATATCTTAATGTTAGCACATAAAATGAAATACATATATAAATCTGGAAATAAGAAATAAGAAATATAACTATCGCTTTCAGTGATACACGAATTCGAAGAATAAATTAATTGTGTCGTCCCCGCTTCTTTAGAATACTTATTCATTAACTCTTGATTCAAATCTGTAGATATCGAGGTATTCAGCTTAATCGCAATACACTAACTATCTTATCTCCCCTATAATGAAAACTGCGCGGTAAACTTGTCATGTCATCATCTCATCACCACTAGAATTATTCTATTCAAGAAAATTAACTATATTCCCGAGATGACGTCTGGGTATCTGACATCTCTTATGCTTCTCATGTTGTGAATTTTATTTTGAAGTTGAATGATATTCGAATTGGTTGAGAGATTGAATTAGCGAGGAGATTGAGAGATTGAAAGATTGAGAGATTGAGAGATTGAGAGATTGAGAGATTGAAGATTTGATGTGGATATGGATATGGATTTGGATGTAGATTTTCTGGTGTGGGTTTATATATAAGAGAAGTTTGGAAATTTGGATTGGATGTATAGAGTGGATTGAGGTTGGAATGGAGTGGGATGAAAGGTGAGTAGGTGTTGAGTAGGTAGATAGTGTTTAGTGGAAGGTTTGTTATATTTGTTTTGGATGTAGTTGGTTGGTAATTGGTAGAGTGATATGTGATAGTATAGTGTGAGATAAGGTGGAATGGGATGGGATAAGGTGTCTGAATTGTATTGGGATTGGGTTGAGATTGGATTGAGATTGGATTGAGATTGGATTGAGATTGGATTGAGATTGGATTGAGATTGGATTGAGATTGGATTGAGATTGGATTGAGATTGGATTGAGACTAGATTGAGATTGGATTGAGGTTAAATTGAGGTTAGAGTTGGAGTGAATAGTATTGGTTATAGCTGTATTATTTTTAGTGATATCCTTATAGTATTATTACCAGAATATTATATATACATTGTCTCAAAATGATTACATTGATATCATCATCCAGTCAAATCAAAAAAGAATAAACCATCTTGTCACTTCATACTATCGCGGAGATCTTCCCCCTCCCACTCCCATCAAAAGTACCATACGCCTTTTCCGCGCGATATGACGACGCGCCTTTCCTCTCTACTCGTATCCAGCCAGGGTTAGTGGATCAGAACTTGGTAATGCTTGATTCGATCAAGCGCGATATGAATTGTTTGAAATCTTTTCTCCATCTTCAATTCCGGAACTAGAATTGTTTGGAAAGATGTGGTTGTTCTTTGGTTTGACTGTGGAGATCATAATGGATGCTATCAGAGAAGATTCATAAACTGGACTTAGCTTCATGTAATAGTTGACACTGCTTCGGAGAATGACTTTGTGGTATTTATATCTGGTGAAATTCGCGAATCTCTTTGCGGGCTTGTGCTTGTGGAGAAAATGACGGAAACTTGGAGGTTGTTATTGATACCGAGGGTCTTTGGAGTATTTTGCAAATCACAGGGAATGGATGGACTTTGATTGTTAAAGCGTAGCAAGACTTGCTACTGAACTCAAGGAACATTGGATGCGAGTCGTGTGGAACTAGTTGGAGGAACAGACGAAGAAACTCCAGTCCATACGATATTCCTCCAAGAATCCGAACTCGACATGCAAAGTTGGTGATGGGCTTTGAAAAGCTTCCTGCATCCCGAAAAGGTTCTCTTGTACTGCACTGGTAAACTTACCGGAGCTCCTTCATTACGGAAAGGGAAGATTGAACCCGGGGTCTGCGAGTCCGGGTTTCTTGTTGCAGGATTAGAAGTTGTCTATGTGATGATTATAAGCCGAAAGATTCATAGCTAGGCTTTCCTGGTGTTGCGGAGTATTTTATTACCTTTGCTGATGAGAAATCGGGGAAGAGGTCCCACGAATTAGATAAATCTTATCCGCTGAGTGTACAAGGTGGGAAGACAGATGGTGATAGACTTAGCTACAACGATTCCAGAGGCTTTCCGCTCTATGATTTGGCAAACACAAATCGTTCGGGAATCGTTACAGCGACCTCGATATCCACAGCCGTGGATGCTTCGATGAAGACAATCTTAGGCAATTCTGGTATCGTTACGGAAAGCCCAGAAATTATGGAGAGTGGAGAGCCAAGAGAAAACGGGTTGGTCATGGGACGTCTGTTTAGAGTTGTGGTCAGTTCTTATGGGGATGATCACAACTATGCATATAAATTCTTCAGTCAGCTAGCACACAAAGCTCCGAACAATGAAATCACGGATTTATATCTCAGTCATCACAATCGCATAGGATTGAAGAGTAACAAATTCAAAGAGGCATTATAGAATAAGAAGCTATAAGGTGAAGAATATAAAGCCATAAGCGCGAGGTTGAATCAATAACTCATCGAGAATACACAGAAGTTATTGATGTGGGTGAGAGGCTTTTCAAAGCTGTGAACACGCATATGAGCATATTATGGGAAGTGTTTGAGTCAATGCTCAGGGATGGTTCAGGGATCATCATATTGGAGAGAGGGTGATTGATGAGCAAATTTGGTTTGTTGATCAGAGGGGCTACCGGCCGAGGACTGGAGTGAAGAATTTAGGAGGGTGTAGGACATGAAATGGACGATGGGGTTTTTTTGCTTGATATCAAGGATGGATGCTTAATTAAGAACGGGTCAGAGTGTAATCAGTGAATTTTTAGGGTTTATTCTAAAATTCAACCCTAGATGTTTGAATTCAATAAGTTAATGCATTACGAAGCTAGAATGTTGTTTAGCATTGCACAGTTCTCTAAAGGTATCACTCAGATTTGACTTCCCCAAAAGCTTGTGTAGCACAAATAGTGGGGTACCCCTGAACTCAAAGCAAGTAATCCGACATATCGCTCGCTTAACCTTCTTCGAATCTTTCCCCGCATTGTACACTTCACACCGGCATATACCCGAAATGACCTCTCGTTTTATACTTGAACCATCTTTTCAAAACTGCTTGAAATTCTTGGAGTATATTGCAATAAGATCTTTCAAAAAACATCGTATCTTCAAACAACGAAACGATGGCGCCCAAAAACTTGCTGGAACTGTTGCGGTCGAGGACGGTGGTCGATTGCGATACCATGGAATTTGAGGGTGAGATCGCTTGTATGAATCGGTATACACAACTTTTTCTGACGATGAATTGCAGTTGCGAAATCTCTTGGTCCTTTCATAGATTGTACTTCCAACCAAGCAATTGCATTTTTCGAGCTTCAGAAACCGGAAAACAAAAAACTTCTCCAAGAGACAGCGGAAACTACGGAAAAACTACTGAAAACGCAAGAGTACCAAGATGTGAAGTTCTCAGAGCTAGCAGTCGAAGTTGCGGTATGTGGAATCGACTTGAAATGTAAATGAATATGAAGAGCTTACTTAGCTGCTTAGATGGTCAAATTACAATTTGCAATCGCGAGCGTAGTCACGGGGTTTGTTCACGTTCAGACGAATCCTTATCATTCGTATGGCACTGAAGAAATGATTCAAGATTCACGAAGTATTTCTTCACTTTTCCTTGAGATATTGACAGAGACTAAACAATCTAGGGATAATTTCCATTTTTAGACATCTCGATCCAGACTTTGACACTAATCGAATTTGCCTGAAGATACCAAGCACATGGGAAGGACTCCAAGCATGCAAACATTTAGAAAGAGAAGGAATAAGAACATTAGCCACTACTCTTTTTAGTATTGAGCAGGCAGCTTTGGCTGGAGAGGTCCAGTGCACTTATGTTGCACCTTATGTTAATGAATTGAAAGTTCATTTCGATGCGGGGTATATATCCACCCATTTCTTATCGAAATCGGATCATCATGATTGCATTCCAAAAGACTAACCAGAATCAGATTCACGGATACCAATAAAGCGCATCAGCTCTGCTTCGAAATTCAACAATACTACAGTCAGAATAATCTCCGAACAAAAGTACTACCAGCTAGTCTGACGAATATCGATGAGATTATGACGCTAGCGGGTGTAGATCATATCACGATTGCGCCGGCGCTGTTGAGAGATTTAGCAGCTACAGCTGTGGAGGGCTATGCGGTGAAATCTCTGTTTGATGGAAATGAGCGGGAGAAGTCTCAACCTACCGCGTTGGAGTTTGATAATGATGAGAGCTTGTGGAGGATAAGTTTTACGAGGAGCGGGAAGGGAGAGGCGGAAAGAAAATTGAGTCAGGTGAGTTTATGTTGACAGATTTTCTTCAACTCAGTTATGATGTAGAACTTACTAATTTTTGATATTCTGTACAGGCCATAAATATCTTTTGTGATATGCAGACACAGTTGGAAGCGATGTTCAAGGACTAGAAAAAGAGCATATATGGTTTGATAAGAGTACTATCAGACACAAGGATGCTGGACTGAGTGTTAATCCAAGCAATGTTGGGCTCAGCTCAATATTTCTAAAACGATAGCCAATTGTAATTTAAAAGCACCGTATCTTGCAAACTACCCTCTTTGTGACCCCCCATAGATCAATTCATGGGCATAGGCTCCGATGAAAGGCCTTAGAACATGGATCTTAGAAATGCCTTCTCTCAAGCGTGAATAAATTCGTGGACCTCATCATCTATGAAAAACGCACTTCACGGGGGCTTAGGAAGTGTTCTTGGTTTGAGCGGAGCACAGTCATTGTATACCTAGTGATATACCTTCTCTCGTCTGAAGCTCTCTCTAGCTAGCCTAGAGCATGACGAATATCGAACATGAGATCTATGAACTTCGGTGCTCACCCAAAAATTTGAGGAATTTCAGTTCGAAAGGTACGAATGTCATTGAACCGAAGAGTAAAAAGAGAGCAACTCGTTCCACGAGGGAAGCTAGCGTTGTGACTTTTTCCAATGAGAGATTGGTATAAATTTAAATAGGGAGTCGGATTTCATTGATAAGCTTTTCTATGGTCTTTATATGGCTTGTCTACGAATGTGAGGACTCACGACGTTTTCGAGACACATTACTCTTGACACAGGCATCGAATTATAATGATTCCTACTCCGTGTGATGGGAATCGAGATTGTTAAAAGTTCAATTCGATTGAATGCTCAATTTGACAAGGAGATCTCGAGGCAACAGTCTGGTGACTTTAATATGGTTCTTTAAGACAAATTCTGTCTCTTCACTCTACCTTATAAATTGAAGCAAAGTCAACTGAGCTTTCTGAAACAATAAGCTCCTGTTCTCTTGGCTCATTTAAGGCTATGAGCTTCAATTCTTGTCCGTTTGAGACGGGTGAATCTAAATTGTCCAGGCCCATTTGAAACCACGAAGCTACATTGTCTCAGCCCCACAGGGGCTACCAGACTTCATTATATCAACTTATCTGATTCCATGGAATCGAATATCTGATCTCTTTCAGATGAATAGAAGCTAAATTACAAAAGATATTTGAACACCATAAGAACTCGTCTTTGAAGACAGCCTTCCGATTCATGTTTCCCACTAGTAACTTGTAACTTTTGCTTTTCTCATGAGAATAGCACAGATGATATAAAGTGAAAATATGACAATCTTTAGAAAGAAACGGGAAAGTCAGAAAAGGCATATTTTAAACAAAATAGCATTCATTTCAGCTTGCTGCTTGAATTAACATCCCCAGTCTAGGAAAAATGTTCGCACGAGGCATCCCAATAACCCGGAAGCGAAATCCTATGTTCTGGATATTGGTTAACATAAGCTTGTAAGGGAACATGTATCTCAACGAGCTTATCCTGAATACGTGCCGCAGATTGGATCGTAAATGATGACCGGCTGACATCTTACTTGCATTCATAGGACACACCTGTGAAAACTCCCACTGCTATAATCCGAGGTTTCAAGGCATTCTTCAAAAATAATCTTTTCACAGAATCTTAGGCCATTTTATAGATCGCCTAGAAATACATTATCGGTCTGCAGTATCTAGATCGCTTGTAAGATTGATCGACTCTACCGAATGATTGGATCAGAACGTTGTGCCACAACTAAGATATGTATAGCATTCTAGAACGGAATCTTACGGGGAAGATTAGCTGTGCCACAGATGACTCGATAAACGCTACCGTGAACTGACGTCTTTTACATTCTTGCTACCTGGATACATTATATTACTTTACTTTACAGCAATTGTGTTCGCACCTTGCTACTGTGAAAAATAGAGTAGGGTGATCTGATCGTGGTTTGGATCCAATTATTCGATTACTTCCGTTGTTATATCTGACACTTTTCTCTTCTGATCCGCGTTGACTATGACTATTGATAGAATACATGATGTGTCACAGCTGAATATGGAGATGGATTGGATAGAATTATGCCATAAAATGCTGCAGTCTTGTCGAAAAGTGAGGTTCGAATTGACCTATAAGAATTTATTATTCGTAACTGAGGCTGACCATATATCAGCCCATTCCGAGTCAGCACTTGTGTTACTGATATTGTGGCCTCAGGGGAAAAACATATATACCAGTGAAGACTTGTTGACAAAGAACTACCATCCATTCAGCCTTGAAGTCAAGCTATTCTTCTTAAAATTAGGATACCGGTAACGAATCATCCTAAATCTCATCAGTAGCATGCAAGGCTGCTACGGTTGACATGGGGTATTGGGGTTATTTCCAGGCCAAAAGATTCCTTCAACCAATACCAGAGTTCTAATGAGGTCTCACCATACATGGGACGACAACTAGAAGAGTCTTCTATCGTATTGGGTGGAAGATAGCCCGGATACTCCATTGCCTTCCATGTAAGTAAGTACGTGCCAATAAAAGGCGGCCGTATCTTAAAACGTTCACAATGCCCAGTACTGCTTCAAAAATTATCCCAATTGCCAATGAGGTTGAAGAGGTTACTTCTTCCCTCCTGCACTCTTCTATACTTCCAATAATCAGACCTCGGATCCTTCAACTTCTTATGGTTTGATTCATTGTCCAGAGAGCCTCTCGAATTGTAACAACACGCTTGGCATTTGCGACTTCAAGAGTGAGTAGCAAGCTGCGACGCATCATGATGCATGGGGAGATAGATTGTGCCTCGAGTTACGTGCTAGGCTGTACTTGCGGCGTTGAGATTTATTGTATGATTCAATGTTATTAAAGTCTTTTTACTATGATACAACATCCTCGTTTCGCATGCTCCGATCTCGCTTGTCCGTAAAAGCCTGATATCTTGAAACTTCTGCTGGGAACGAGGAGAATTCTATGACTCTCCTGCTTTATACGGCACAGGGAAAACTCCTGGAGTCTTTCTGTCGACTCTTGGGCGTTCTCAGATAAGCCTCTTATGTCTAGATGGATATATTAGGTCCTGTCTCTCCTTCAATGAGACG